AGATAATCATTAAAGAACGAAAATGAATGAGATAAAGTTATTCAATGTTTGACCATGAATTGAGGCAGTTAAGGTAGAGCTTTTTTTTGATGGGGTTGTCGACGCCTCATGAATAAATGAATAAATGAATTAGTTTTTGTTCATTACGTAACGAGTAATACCAGATATCTGATACAATACGCTGATCAGTAAATTACGGAATTACGGAATTAAAAGAATTACGCAAGAATTATTATGTTGCGACAAGAATTACGTTACGACAATTACCGTTACGACAAGAAATACTTACCTGATACGTTAACGTAATGAGAATGAAATATATTTGTCTATTTTCGCTCATCTTTCACTATCTGACCTTTTAGCCGCTTCTTTAGTATGTGAAAAGTGGCACGTCTCATTTATCTCTTTCCTCTTCTCTAATCTTTTTATAAAATCTTCTCGTCAACTCTCTCTACTCAATAAATACCGTCTATTAAAACGTCATTCTCATTTAATCCATTCTCTAACGCTTTTTAAAGTACATCTTTCATCTCAAGAAAAGCAATTGCTTTTAACTACCTGCAAAAATCTTAATAAACTCACCTTTATAAAATGCTATAACCTTGATTCTGTTTTCTTGAAAGATATTTTAAGAATTAATAAGGATTCAATAGAAATTTTTAATATCTGGGGTGAGCGAAATGTTAATAATAATAGAAGAAGTGAGTTTAGCAGTACTGAAGTAAATGATGAATTATTAAGTCCGATGATGGAATTTTGCGGAAATTTGAGAGAATTACGCATCTGTGGTGCTGAAATCTCTGATAACATTTTAATTAATTTAACTTCGTCTTTGGATGAACAAGAATCTTCTGGTGAAAATCTTATTTCTGACGCAAGAGATTTCGGTTTTTCTCAAGATTTATTAGTAACTCCACCCGCCTCTCCTATATCATCTAATACCTATCCGCATCTTCATTCATTGGATCTTACCGAGTGTTTTAATTTGACTGCTTTTGGAATAGCTGAATTATTCTCTCCTGATAATTTACCAAGTTTTCATTCTTTAATACTTCAACACAATCCACAGAATGAATTGGATTTGGAATTCTTTGAATTTCTCGCTGATAGTTTTAAATCTCATTCTTTTAAAATCATCATCTTAAATTCTAAGGGGTATGATGAAAAAAATAAAAAAGATTTTCCACACTTTTGCTAGAATTGCTAAAGATCTGGAGATTCTTGGAACAAAGAAAGACAATGTTAATGTTATTAAACGTGAAAATGAAATGAATGATTCAGAGATTTTTACGTTCTTTTGGAATAAGTAGTCCTTTTATGGCTAAATAATATTTGTATGATAATTTTTTTAATAGATGAAATATGTTCATAATTTGTGTTAGGTGAATATCGATGATTGAATGGAGAAAATGGTTGATTCGATGAATGAATGAATGAATGAATGAATTACTCAGAAAATTTTGTATAAATAATGCTCAATTAGCTCAATTAATAAATTTCTGAATTATTTCTATTTATTCAAAGAAAATAACTATTTAATTTCATTCTCATTACGTTAACGTATCAGGTAAGTATTTCTTGTCGTAACGGTAATTGTCGTAACGTAATTCTTGTC